TTTAAGAATCAACAATAAGATTCGGTTGTTGGACTAATCAAGTAACTTATCATTTCAACCACAAAACAAAAGAGAACCTTGTCCCTGATAGAATATCAAGAATAAGATCAACAACTTGTTACAATTCTCAAACAAACAGTACATCAAGAATAAAATCAACAACAGTTATTAAAATGTGTGCATTGAATTCGAATTTACTTGTAGAATTTTCCTTCAAATAAGTAGGGAATTGTCAATTTTGAATGGGACCAAGATTTGGTTGGTCCAAGCCTACATAATTCAATTTCAAACCTATAGCAGAGGGCATTGGCAATTGCCAATACAAGTCACATTAATATGACTTTGATTGAAAGAAAATTGTTGGACCATATCTGCATATAATTAAGGTTACATCTCACCTTATACTCAGATTGACCTATACATGCTAATTTTTGCATTGCCATGCTCGGATCGGATGTCATTTGGTTTTTGGGTAGATTATTTTCCTCATGCTATATTGACTCTTTAATGTTTTAAATTTTAATTTTTAATGTTTTTTATTTAATTTTCATTTTGTCATAACTGTACTTGGACGAATCGTGCCTTTATACTCGGACACAGGACCCCACTCCAACAAAAGACAAAAGAAAAAATTTCGTCAACCCCAAAATCTTCTCGGCTCTCGCTCTCTTCAAATTTAATACACAAAGAATTGGTACTAAAAAAAAACATAAAGAATTGATTGCAAGTTGGACTAAAGTTGGGTGAGGCATCTTTGGGGTTGAATTTATATTATATATATCGTTTAAACGTTAATTAGTTAATAATTTAATACAACACTAATTATTTATTTAGGCTCATTGGACAATTTATATTTGTGATACGAAGTCAAGTCTTTAATCCAATATCATTTCCATCATTTTAACTATAATCTAAATTATTCATTGTTTAAGATTTTATTTAAAGACCATCTCTACAAAATTCACATAATCTGAAAATCTATAAAAATAAAATAAAAAAATTGTTGAGAAAAAGCGATAGTAATTATTTATGAAATATATCATGGTACAAAGCCACAAAAGAGCCAAAATGGGTACAACATCTTCAGTGACCAAACAAAATAACATGTTGATTTGATCTGGAGAGAATTACGTTTAAACCAACAAATAGTCAACCCCTTGATTCAGTATCTGGAACGACTCGTATTCGGACTAACAATACATCTCCATTGCGCAACGGCAGAAAAGACATTTCTGTATTGCAACCGAAAACTAGAATACAAAACACAGCAAACTCCTAAAGAGTTACTGAGAATTAAAATAAAAAGTACATCAAACTTCTAATGAGTAATAGACTTAAAACAAGAAACAAGAACACCCCGCCACATCTTCTTCGGCAACCGAAGAAATCCATAACGTCATACCAACTAAACCCTTAGTGCGGCACCAACTAAACTAACTTGCATTATTGTAACTCCAAACATTGAATTGGAGCCAAAACCCTATATATGTGGGCCAAAAGCGGCAACTAAATCATAACGATAATGGTGTTTCGCAGCGTATGCTTCCATATCACATACGAATTAGCATAACAATCGTTACTACCTCTACTGACATCGACGTCGTCACCTCCGTCGGGATAGATAGCACCACCGGTGCTTTTATTACAACCAAGTAAAAAACACCCAAACCAAAAAACCTGCAGCCAGAAACAACAAAAACAAAAAACAAAACCAAGATCTACGGAAAATGAAAGGAAAGGAAATAGGAGAAGAAAAAAAGAGGGATACAGAAAGAGAGAGAGAGGGGTGTTGAGAAGAGGAAAAAGAGAGGAGAAAGATAGGGGCAAGATGGGGGGTTAGGGGAGGAGAGGCAGAGGCCACATCCCCCCTTATACTAGCTAGGAATACGAACGCATGCATGTTATGTTATGATGAAAAATTCCCATAAACGTGTACATACTTTTTTCTTTACTTTAAATTCTTGTAATATATAGATTGACGAATAAATAATGAAAATATTCATGGTAAGAATTAAGTGTACTTTTTGTAAGGATGATCCTTAAATAAGAACTTAAAAATTGAAATGTTCAAATTATATAATTACATTGTCGAGTGAGCCCAAAGAAGTAGTTAGTAATTTATTAACTTAGGTAGTATGACAGATAAAGTTAGTAAAGTGCCAAGTCGAAATTAAGAGGTATTTTTGCATAATATTATATTGTCTATCAACGACTATTGGTTTAGTAGTGTTTATTGAGAGTGGTTTCAAATTTGAACTCTCCGTCTTCTATATAAAACAAAATATTGATACCAAACTATGTAACTTTTTATGAAGGAAAATTCCAATTCAAAGAAAACACCACCATCAAACAAGGATAAGAAGCTGACCCCAAAAGTGCCTTTTTATATATTTATTTATTTTTCTTGGCGCATATTGAACTTATAAATGACTTTCTAGGTACGTAGTAGTATGAGCATGCATATACCATTACATGTAGTTCTTTCTCATGGTAAACAATAAAAATGTGGTGCAATTCTAAGTGGATTTTGAGTGGTATTTGCACTGCCCATCCTTGACGGCACGTAACATGCATCCAAGTCAACCATGTGGCAAATAACAATGTGCCTTTTTTAAACTTTTTTTTTGGGTAACCAGTAATTAATATGGTTTAGGGTTTAGAGTTTGTCCTCTTGCATTCAAGTTGGAGTCCCCTCCCCGTAGATTCGAGTAATTTAGACTATCGTTTGTATTAGAAAAACAAAGTTTATAATGTTATTTTGAGATGTTAAAGGTTTGGCTTTCCACTTAATTATACACACATGACAATTACAACACTTGTTATGATGTTTTCTTGATTTGATTTGTATTATACATAGGTTAAAGTTGAAAATACTTTTTCTCTTTCTACAGCTGACAAACAAGAAAGCCATAAATCTAAGTAGTGGATGCTTATAAAAACCATACAAGGCACTCCCTCTCAAAAGTGAGCTCTGGATTTGTGCCAAACTACAAGAGTGGAGCTCTTCCACCCAATATTTTCTCTCTCTCCCTTATAGTATTTAATTAAATCATTCATATAGATATATATATATAAAATTACCATTTACAATGAAAATAACCCATTTTACCATCCAAACTAATTGATGTAGGCTTTTAAATCTAAATTTAATGGCCCATTTTTGTTGTCACCATACTTTTCCCTTCTTTTTGGGTTGTTATCTCTAATGGAAAAAGCTCATGTGCATGGTTGAATGCAGAGAAGGGCGGAGAGGAAATATGGATGACAGAATTTTGAGGCCCTGTACGAGGGCCCACTTTGCACACCCCAAAGCCGCCTCCGAGTTTAGGTATTGTTGGTGTGTATTAGCCCGTTGTATAATATCTTCAAAATATTCTATTGTATGTCTCAAAGAAAATCTTTACTTTGTCATTCATCAGATTTGAACTCAGAATCTTCTTTAAATGTCGTTAAACAGAAATAGTTGCGGGCGTCAAATTCTTTTCTTTGAAAAAAAGGTATTGGATTCCAATTTGCAAATTGATGTGGCATATTAATGTATTTAGGTCTGCTGTTATTTGGACTAAATGTTATAAAGTCAAAAGCTTGTAGAAGATTCTCATCAAAATAAAAAAAGGCTTGTAGAAGATGTCAAATACCTGCTAGACATATGTGATGCACCGATCACGTGATCCCGATCAACGCATCTGATAGTGGAGATGTACGTCTTGCAAAGAAATTGTACTACAGAACGCTATTCGTAAATTATACCATTCGTTAAAAGAAAATATATGCGTTGGAAGGAAATTTTTCGAGTTCTCGAACAAGTAAATTTATAATTCGTGTTTGAGAAGTATAATATTATTTTCACTTTTTACCAATAAGGGATGAAGAGTACTTGGAAGAAAACACTTCGAATGGTAATCGGTGATGAATATTTTTGTGGATTTAATTTGTAATCAACCATAATAAATAATTTTCATCATAAAAAAATTAATAAATAATTTTCTTAGGAAATAGTAAAAAATCAACAGAGGAACAAGTATAAAACTAATTAAAATAACAAATACAATGATACATCAATTACAGGTCCAAGTCACAAGGGGTGGGCCCTATTATCAGGACTCTGTCATGGGTCGTTGACCAACTGATCCACAATGGACCCCACGTGTCCTTTTCTCCCTTGTTTTAAAATTTATATTAATTTTGGCGGGGATGAATATTTTTTGGTGGCCAGCGAATTTAGTAAAGGCTGGTAGCTGAGTTTGAATCTTTTACTTTCTAATTAAAATAATAAAAATAAAAAAATAAAAAATAAAGAGTTAGAAAGAGAAACCTCAACTGGGTTAGTTGGCAGTATTGACATTGTATTGCGGATTCTTCTAAACAAATTTAAAATATTGATTAAAGTCTTGTAATCTTTTTATTTTTTTTTGTATTTAAATGCCATATTGATTGAACTAGTTCTTCTTAATTAATAATTATCTGTATGATTTGCACATCACCTTCATGGATGCATATTTTATTATGAGGAACTTGAGTTTGTGTTGAGTTTGTGTTCTATTATATAAAGACATGGGTCATTCTCAATCTTTTTTCCCTCCATTTTTATTGACTTGTTCATAAAAACTAAAAACAAAAAAAATATATCCAAGTGTTTATTTCTATGGAATAGTTTGATACATGCAAGTTCATATTTCTGTGCCATTTTTTGGAGTTTTAATATGGACAATAACAATAATTTTAAAAATGTTGTTTGACGACAAAATACTTTTGTAACGTATTAATGAAGCCACAATAAATTAAAAACAAATTTATATTTTATTTCATTATTCATGTCAGTCAAACTAAAGACTTCCTTCAATAAATTAAAGACTAAGTTATTATTATTGTAATTATTATTATTAACAATAATAGTTATATTAATATTTAAATATTTTTATTTAGAGAAATAAGAAAGGATAAACTCTTTGTAATTGCTTTGATAGCTCTTACAATTAAGATTAAGATAATCAAGATAACTACTTCTATAATTAAGATAATAGTGTCCAGTAACTAAGATAACTTTTGATAGGTGGAACCCCACAGTTGATCAGATAGAAATAGAAATCCTTACCTTAGGAATTTCCAGGGGAGCTTGATCGGGTACAATTTGAGAAGCAGGGGGTGAAATTGGTTCAATATCATCAGTAAAACTAGCATGTTCAGATTCAGCCAAAGCAGTGGTGTTGGCCAAAGCAAGAGTTTCGATCCAATCAGTAAGTTCGGCCAAAACGGTAGGCTCAACTAGTTCCATTGTTGCTCCCCCTTGTATCAAACCATCCACCACAATTTCTCCTTGTAAATCTAGCCAATTATGTCTTACGCTTCTAGTCTCCCCTTGAAGGACATGCCTCAATTGTATTAGAGAAGAACATCATATCCTCAATGAATGTAACATCCATAGAGACATACAGACGTCAAGTAGCATAGAAGAGACCAAAGCATGATAAATCAGTACTTGCATAGGAGTTCGAAAATCCAGAACTCATGAAGGTAGACGATTCAAGAGATAAACTGCATAAGTAACAACATCCATCCAGATTCGCGTGGGAACTGACACACTAAGCAGTAGAGCACAAGTAGCAGCAAGGATATGCCCATTATTATGTTCAGCAACCCTATTCTGTTGTGGTGTATGAGGACAAGTAGTCTCATAGAGAACACCTTGAGTATGAAAAAATTGAGATAAAGCTAAATTTACAAATTCTTCACATTATCAAACCGAAAAACTTTGATAGGGAGCATAAATAGAGTCTAAATCATATGATAAAAATGTAGAAAGATAGTGACCACGTCACTTTTATGTTTCATCCTATAAAACCACATCATACGAGTGCAATCATCCACAAATAACACAAACCAACGAACACCTAAGGCAGTAGGAATAGGGGAAAGGCCTCAAACATCATAATGAACTAAATCAAATGTTATAAGGCGTTTATTACAACTTAGAGGGTAGGATACCCAACGACTCTTAGTTAAAATACAAGTTTGACGTTGGATGACAGACTCAGAGACTCCACTAATTAATCCAAGAAACAAATGTCGTAAATAACCAAATGAGGCATGACCAGAATGACGATGTGGCAACCAAATTTGGTGATGCTGAGAAGTTTCGGCACTACCAGCACGAAGAACCCAATTATTTTCCACAGCACCCACATAATAAAGCCATTATTTTTTAGTACTACGACCAATGATCTCCCGAGACTGGATATCCTGTAGTAAAACAACATATGGGTACGTCAGCACAACACAATTTAACTGCTTAGTAACTTGTGGCACATATAATAAATTGCTAGATGAAGATGGAACCAGTAACACTTTGTCTAAAGGTAAAGTAGGTGTCAAGAGTACAAAACCAGCTTCTGTGACAAGATCAATATCATTATTAGTTGCCATAACATGATCACGATACTGGAAATATACACACAAAACTCATAGAGATATTGGAATTTATTGAACAAACTAAAACAACGCCAGCAAAAGGAAAACCAACGGCCACTAATCTTCATTTAGGACATGACATAAAGAGTGCAACCTAGTTGGTCCAGGGCCTCGACGCACCAATGATCAGTTGATTTACCATGACCAAGTCGCAACACATCAAAGGGCAGTCTCACAAGATGAGGCACAACTAAAGCCAACCCAGATGTGGGGCAATAGATCTGCCAAAGGAAGAGTAAATCAACATAAGTCCACCAAAAGTCGAAGAACACCGAAGATTCGATGGGATCTAGGGGAAGACCCCTCGGATCTAAAGCTCTCTCTCTCTCTCTCTCTTAGCAGCTAGGGTTTTCTAAAATTAAGTCTAATCGCTTTTGGCTTTAAGTTTTGACTTTTTCTTTATGTAATTTTAACTTTAAGCTAAATGAAATTAACCTTATACATTATTTGCAATTGTTATAACTATTATGATGCTGATATTTAATGAACTTAATTAGACAACGTAGAGTATTTTATTTATTTATTTTAAGGACAACTTAGGATGAAATAACGAAGGATTTGTTCATGAAAAAATGGCATGCCAATGGATCCTCATTCCTTATGCAGTAGTGGATGTACTCATTCCATCAGAGTAGTACACTATGCACACTATCTTCTCTTATGGCCTCCTAATCATCCCTACTTCAATCACTCTCCTTGCCACTCACTAACCTAATACTTATTTTGGATTAGACATTAATAATCATTTGTAACTGACATCCAAATTGCCCATGTGATGGTGAGTAGAGTATTAATACACAACGGAGTTGGGGGGTTTAACATGCTCTTCAGACAAAGAAAGGAAGGTAAAAATGCTTAATCATGCCCAATTAATAGTATTAGTTCTAACTTGGCTTTGCGCTGCTTCCATTCAATGTAACACACATTTCTGAAACTGAAAATTTTGCCATATAATTAATTAATGCTTCACAACAACAAATATTTGCTCATTTGTGTTTTGAATAATGAGAAACTAGCTAACCATGTTGAGAATCATTAAGGCATAATGGTAAATTTGCATGAAAGATGGGGAGGTGACCAACCCAGATTGGGCCTTGGGCTCGGGGTCCGGACAGAGCGTCTCGTTAATCCAAACAATGAAAAGGACAAAAGCACCCCTATAAGACAACCCTTTTTCATCCAATCCAACCTCGGTTTTCCACATTATTGACCCTACAGTCTCACTGAACAGTCCTACCACCACCGCTTTTTGTCTTTCCCTAAAGGGAAGGGAGGGACCGGTCAGGGACAAAATGGTCACACCACAAATTTTTTGCATTTCAACTCGGGCCCCACATTTTTGCCATGTGGAATCCGACGTGGAGGTCCTTACAAGTACCCCGAACCAGCACTTGCCATTTTGCGATGCTAGACGCCAGGTGTAACCGTCAACCCAGAGGAGCCAACAACTGCACCCAACAACAAAAAATAAAAAACATTTAGAAAAAAAATATATTTTTAGAGAGACAAAGTCTTTCTCTCTCTATAAAACGAGGTCAGTCAGTCTACTAAACTAAATATATAAAATCACTGCCACTCTCTCTCTCTCTCTCTCTCTCACTGCTTCTCTCTTCTTTTTGTTTATTTTTCGTTTTTTAAATGGTGCTATTTGGGTTGTTGAGCTTTGCCGGAAAATCGTGTAGCAGACAATTTTCTCGGTAGCCAAACAGCGGAAGCGAGTCAAATGTGATGGGAAGTGGAGTCTCGAGCCTCTCCTCTTGCTTCCGGCCGGTTCACCGGACCAACCACCACCACCCAGACCACAACGACGTCGTCTTCGCGGCCTCTGAGCCGTTGGACGAAACCCTAGGCCACTCTTTCTGCTACGTCCGCTCCTCAGCTCGCTTCCTCTCACCTACTCAGTCGGATCGCTTCATTTCCCCTTCCAACTCGCTCCGGTTCTCTCCCTCTCACGAGCCGGGCGCGAGGACCCGACCCGGCCTGCACGAGACCGGGTTCAAAGCCATATCTGGGGCTTCCGTGAGTGCTAATAGCTCCACTCCCAGAACTGTCCTCCAGCTTGACAATATTTACGACGATGCCACTGACAGTGTTCTCGGTGGTTTCGGAGGTGGAGTCCGGGGGAGCATAGTCAATGGTTTCGAGAGTACGTCGTCGTTTAGCGCCTTGCCTCTTCAGCCCGTGCCACGTGGCGGCGAGCGCGACCCCTCGGGCCCAATGGAGCGGGCTGGGTTCTTCCTCTCCGGTCCAATAGAGCGCGGCGCCCTCTCCGGTCCGCTCGACCCGAACCCGAACGCGCATGGACCGGACGGCCAGGTTCACTTCTCGGCGCCGCTCGGTGGCCTTTACGTGAAAAAGAGGCGGAAGAAGGGCATTTCGGGGATTCGGAAGGCGTTGTACCGGAACTTCTCGGAGAAGAAGCAGCGGCCCTGGGTGGTTCCGGTGCTCAATTTCGTTGGACGGAAGGAGGGCCCACCGCCGCCCGGGGACGAGGCGGAGCCCAAGATTGAGACCAATGTCCAGTGGGCTCTTGGAAAAGCGGGGGAGGATCGCGTACATGTGGTTGTATCGGAAGAACAAGGTTGGTTGTTTGTTGGGATTTACGATGGGTTTAACGGACCTGATGCGCCGGAATTTTTGATGGGCAATCTCTACCGTGCATTTTACAACGAGCTTCAGGGATTGTTTTGGGAGGTTGATGAAGATGATCAAGCCCCAGGAGCCGAAGAAGCCAATAACACTAACCCACCAAATGTAGCTACAGAGAGTGAAGTTGTTGTAGATGTTAAAATTGATGGAAATGATTCGAATTCGAACCCCTTGGCTGAAGCTGATCGGACAAAGAGAGTGACCTTTCAATCGGAGGGTAGGAGGCGGCGGCTTTGGGAATTGCTAGCTGAGGCTGAGGCTGAAGACGGGCTTGACCTTTCGGGTTCTGAGAGGTTTGCTTTTTCTGTCGATGACGCACTTACAGTGAGCAATGAGGGTTCTGGTTCTGCAGTTAGTAGACGCTGGCTTTTGCTGTCAAAATTGAAACAGGGATTGTCCAAGCACAAAGAGGGTCAGGGTCATGGTAGGAAGTTGTTTCCATGGAGGTTTGGTTTGGAGGATAAAGAGGAGGTTGAGGTTGAGAATACAGTCGAGGAGAGGTCTGCTCCAACTGGTAGGAGGAGGAAGGAGGGTCCGGTGGATCACGAATTGGTATTGAGTGCATTGTCAAGGGCTTTACAAGTGACTGAGAATGCTTATTTGGAGATGACTGATAAGGTTCTTGATACGAATCCGGAACTTGCTTTGATGGGGTCGTGTTTGTTGGTTGTGCTAATGAGGGATGAGGATGTGTATGTGATGAATTTAGGGGATAGTCGGGCAATTGTTGCTCATTATGAGCCTGAAGAAGGTGGTTCAAGCATGGAATCAAGAGGGCACAAGGATAATGGGTTGAGCGCTGAGGATATAACTGAGTCGTCCTCGGCTGTGGCCAATGAGGCTCCTACTCAGGCAATGAAATTAACCGCACTGCAGCTGTCCACCGATCACAGCACGAGCATTGAAGAAGTAAGTTCTCTTGTCATTATTTATGCTGCCTTAGCTCTCATGGTACCGCATTCCTATTTGGTGAGATTGTTTTGCCTGATGAGTTGGTGTGTTTAATGTTCTTTTAAACGAAGAATACCCACTTGTATAAACAAGGTTTTGAAAGGCTTATCCAGTTGGTTGTTTTCCATGGTCTCTTGGTTCCTTTAGTTTCTTCTGTTCCTTAACAATTTTGAAGTAGCATGCCTTGCAATTTTATCTCCTGCTTATGCATCTTGGTCTCAGAATCTAACTTCTTCTGTATGTCAAGTTGTTGAGAGAAAGTACACTGGTCGAAGCACACTTCTTGCCGATGTGCTTAGTGCCAGATAGTCTTCTGACTGTTAGAGCTAGATAAATATTTATTTACTTCATACTTTTGCTCTGCGACTTCTTTGATTGCATTATGCCTTTCCAATTATGTGTTTTAGGTTTTGTTGACTTGCTGGAGGTGAAGAAAGTATTGACATCAGATTTATTTGCTTTTCATGGGTTATACAGTGCACATTCCTGAATGCACTGACTGTGGTCACAGCAGTTTATGGTTCAGAGGTCTCCTTTTTTATTCTTAGAAAATGCCACATTGGTCTTATGCTCCATATGAATCCGACACATGCAGAAGTGAATGGTGAACTTTGTTTTTAGTAATCATGTCTCTGTTTGTTCCTTTATCTTCTGATGTTTCTTAAAGTGTTAGGAAACGTGTGGAAAATTTAAGGAATCCCAATTCATTGGGAATCTATATCCAGACTGTTTTAATAAACTGTTCCTCATTGTATTTTCCGTTCCTTGAACATAATCCTGTTTAATCAACCTCAGCAATCTGTTTTCCCTGGGGGTGGGGACAGCAGGCTGAAAGAACTGAAGAAGCTTCCTTTTCCCTTCCCATCTAGATGTCTTGTCATTTCTCCATATCGTCACGTATTCTCCCAATGGATAGGGACGATGTGGAAGCTTCCTTGCAGGTTTTGTTTCCTGTGTGCTTTCTTGAATGTGTAATGTCCCCTCATGGATCTATAGTTGATGTATGTTTGTTGATAATTATCGAGGGTTTTCTGTCACTTTCCTGGTTACCTCAGCATTCCAGAAAGTTACTTTTAGTTCTCAATAACAATGCTTCTGGGCACTCATTTTTGTCATTTCATTGGTGGCGTTGTTTGGGTGTTCTGCTTTGTCCTTGTCTTGTTGGTTTAATCTTTATTTTCCTCTTTCCTGTCCATAGTGTCCTCTGGTGACTTTTATTAATTTCCTTGGTTAGCTTCCTGGCCATGTTGATGCAACTTAGCTCATATCACTATTTTTTATTTTTTATTTTTAACCATTTCTGTTTACCTTATGCAGGAAGTAATAAGAATCAAGAATGAACACCCAGATGACAAACATTGTATTGTCAATGATAGAGTGAAAGGTCGTCTTAAAGTTACCAGAGCATTTGGGGCAGGATTTCTGAAACAGGTCCTACAGATATACTTGTTAACTGCCCCAATAAATTTCACTTTTTTGCATGGTTTGGTGTCATTTCTTTTTGGCTGGTAAATACATATAAGAATATTAAGTGTCTGGTAGAGGCCAAAAAATTGTCATGATTATCTGTTTCCATTCAGTTTTTCCAACTTCCTAATTCACCAAGATTGGCTTATTCTTCATTTTGCTTAAGATATTTAAATTATATATCGTATGGAGAAAAGAAAAACTAATTGAGTCAATTTGAGTATAAGATAGTGGTACATCATTCTGTTATAAAAGAGGTACACTGATTGAAGGTGCTTACTTCATAGACTTGAGAACCTGAGCATTAGCTTAAATCTTGCAAGTGACCAATGTGCATATTTTCCTTGTCTGAAAATGAGGGGAGGGAGTGGAATGCTTATTTTTTCTTCATAACTTTCCATATCCGTGCATGATCCTGTACACATATCTTGGAAAGTTGTGGCATGATATGCACTGTTCATTAATTGAGCGGCCTTACATGATAGCTCTTATTGATATATAGTTTCAACTGTCCCAGGTTGTGCACAGTCAGCTTCAATTGTGTACATATGTTGTCTATACCATATGCAAAATACTTTGCTCTATGGCTCAATCAATATGAAGATAAATTGCTTTTCTTTGGTATAATTAAACAAAAACAGCGTCTGAAGGAAAATGCTACTAAAATGGTTTATGATTTTTGACTGCTGCATGAAACTTTCCATGTACAACTACTTGTGGATGCAGAGTCCAGTGTGAAAAATATTTTACAGTAGGTAATAATGTGATCTGCATTTTTGGTGCAGCCCAAGTGGAATGACACATTGTTGGAAATGTTTCGAAATGAGTACATTGGTACCACACCATACATATCATGTTTGCCTTCTCTCCGCCACCATAGACTCTGTCCTAGTGATCAGTTCTTAATACTCTCGTCGGACGGTTTGTATCAGTATTTTAGCAATCAGGAAGTAGTTTCTCATGTGGAAAATTTTATGGAGAAGTTCCCAGATGGAGACCCTGCACAACACCTGATAGAGGAGCTTCTTTTCCGTGCTGCAAAGAAAGCTGGTATGTTTCACCAGTTATCCTGCCTATTATATTGTGTAAATTGTTTATGCATACTTTTTGCTGTTTTTTGTTTTGTTTTGTGATTTGAGTGGTCGTGCAAGAATAATGCAAGACTTAGAAGGTGTTAGGATGCAGGCGCTAGTCTTTACTGTTGGAAATTCTTACCCTCAGGAAGAGATAACTGCACTGACCATAGTTTTGACATTGCCCTATTATTGTGATGTTTTTCATATTTGCACCTATATCCTGTACTTGGATTCAATTGTAGTTAGTATGTCATATTTCATGATTACGGAAGGACAACACTATTTGTGCTCCCCAAAAGGCCACAATGGCAGTATTATAAGCACTTCTGTATAGAAGTGCAGGATACAGAAAGGGAGCATTCCTCCCTCTTCTTGCCGAAACAATTTGGTTTTATTGGGCTAACAGGATGAAGGTATATATGGTCCGTTTTTTTTTTCCCCTCTTTTTAACAGAAATTATTTGCATTTTCTTCAAAATTGAGTTCTAATTTGTAAAACTTGTCTAGGATAAGTTACAGTGTTATGTAGAGTTCTATTTGATTCAATTTGGGGTGGAGGTGGATCTTTGGGCTTCAGTGTCTGACAAATTTAGACATATTCCTTTCTTTTTCTTAGGGAATGCTGTTTCTTTTGTCAACTGGGAAACCTTAATGGTATTTGGTTGTCAGATGTAATGCTGTTAGTTGTCTGGGTTTAATTGATAGGTTTTTAGGTTTTTAGGTTTTTAGTTTTTTTAGTTTTTTTGTTTTTTCAATCCAAAAAATGGGTTTTGATTGTATCTCCAGTGCACTGCTTGCTCGCTGTTGCTGTCTCCTGTTCAGTTTTCATGAATAAAATTATCATATTTTATTTTTAGAGGGAAAACGAAGAGAGGGGAAGGTTTAAGTACTTGGAAGTGGTCGCTTATTTAAAATTTTCTATTCTTTAACTAATAAAATCTCTTTTGCTGAGATATACATGTATATGTGCATACATGTGTCCTTCGGTGCATGAGTGCGGTGAAGATGCCTATGAGCGTATACTGATAATTTGTATTAGATTTCAGTAATAGTTAGAATTTTCCCTGTGCTTTTCCCTTGAGTGATTATACAGACTGCTGAAGCATTAGTTATTGGTGGATAAATGGAGTTCTACGAAGGGTTTGCCATTTAGGTTTATGCACATAAGGGTTTAGGTTTTTGGCCTCCCTAAAACATGGACTGCCAAATACTTGTAATGGGAAATGATGGTAGATCTTAACTTTTTCATTGGTCTCATCCTAAATTGAAACTGGGGAGAATATTTCATTTGTTTTTAAAGCCTTGCACTTGTGTAACTGAAGAAACTTTCATTTTTATATCTCTAAGTAGAGGGCTAAATAGAAGGAAGATGAAGTTACTTCTTGCACGAGGTTTGGTACGCTTTAGGTGAGAAGATCTTTGTTTTCATTAGATTCATGTAAAACGAAGAGATAAAGTTGGATTGTGGAATAGAAATTGGCAGTAACGACTACTGATCCACTACATTTAGGTTTTTTTTCTTCTTTCTTTCTGATTTTGTCTCTGCTTTTGAGTTTGGCCACTGTCGCTGTATATAATTCTGCAGGGTATCTAGATTTAAACTGGAACTGTTTTGGCTTGCAGGAATGGATTTCCATGAATTACTGGACATCCCACAAGGAGACCGCAGGAAGTACCATGACGATGTCACCGTTATGGTTATATCGCTTGAAGGAAGAATTTGGAAGTCATCAGGAAAGTACCTTTGACAACTTTATACACAGGCAGTATTCTCTATAAAAAGGGGACATTGCAATTTCAATTTTCAGCTAGAGATATTCTTCAAGCAGTATGGAAAGCTTTGCTGCTGACAGTTCCATGGGTCCATTAGGTTTTTGTTCTCTCACAGCATAAGCATACAACTAATACGGATGGTAATGGCAAAATGCTGATGTTAGATATCATCCAATACTTAATAGATGCAAAAATATTGGGTTCAGGACAAAATGAGATTTTGCAGATGGGAGGTTGTTGGGGGAAATGCTCTTTAGGGGAAAGAAATCTTTTCTTTTTGTCCCTTTTCTTTTAGACTCCTTCATTTTTTGTTTAAAGAAAAAAAAAATAGAAAATTTGCATAGGTGGAGGCTCTTCGATTTCATCTGTGCCTCTCTTTTCTTCTTTTCCAGAGCGGAAAATGTGTTTGTAAATTGGTGGGGGTACAGATTTACTTACTGAAAACTTTGAGCATTCCCTTGTCAATACTGAGCATCTGTAATTTTGAAGGTGGGTTTTCCACCATTGCGGATCACAAGAGTTCAAAATTTTACCAACTTTCTGGTGTAGAATTTATGTTGCCTTTTAAAGTTTTGTTTCACCATGAAGAAGTCAAAACATGTGGTGGAAAACTAGTAAAGGGAAATTAGAAAGGTTGCTTGGTACTTGGTAGCAAGCACAACCTAAAAGTGAGAGAGAATTCTTGACCCAAAAAAAGGTGAGCAGGAAATCTTGACCAAAAAGAAGGGGCAAGAAATCTGCCATGAAAATAAATTTGGAAATCTGGTTTCTACTGTTGGGTTGATTTAAGACAAAAGAAAATTTGTGTTGAGGCTAATAAGTCAGACTACAAGATTAACGGATGTACTTTGCACTTTGCACTTGAATTCGAATTTCTCACCCTACCCCCTGGCGTAGTTTAGATTAGATTAAAATAGAGTATCGTTTGTATAAAAAAAACAGAAAAAAAGATTATTGTAAGGCTTGTTTAATTACTATATGAAGATGAAACCTTATCAGGTCAGTGGTGAAAGCTCTTTAAAGTTATATATGGATCTCATGCTTAAAAATTAGGGCTACAAAAAGTTTTTGTGAAATACATCGATCCAAATAAGATAATACATTTCACATTTGAACGAGGATGTAAAAAACTAGAAATTACCAAGTATAAACATACATATAAGCATTGATGAAGGATGACTGTTAGTTGGTCCAACAGTTAAGCTGTGATGGCTGTAGATGGAGCCTGTGACTGCACCCAAGATACTAAATCCTCCCTGGTCGCCACAAAACGACCAGCTTTCTCTTCACTCTTCCTAAATGGTGCAGCCAATTTCTCCACATGAGAAGCAAAGGAATGAGCCAGCCCTTGAGAGAACTTGTGTGTTCCGGTACCCGTTTGGGCTGAAAACAACTCCGGCAACGCCTCCTCACGCTGAACAATTTTGTAGAGTGTTCCCATCCACTCTTCAAGTGCAGTGTGAGCTGCACCAATGGACAGTGACCTAACATCCAAACACCACTCCCTTGAAGTCTTGTTGTGTAAACCCGGATACAACCCGTATAGGGTTCCCAGATAGAGCAACTCATGAGCTCTCTCATGGTTGTTTTTGTTTCGGCATATATCTATCAAGCAATTACAGAAGGGTCTCCGGGATTCAACTGACGTGCCACTGATAACATCCCTGAACTCATCTTTAATTGTCTCAAACCCAAGTTTCTTATCTTGCAGCACTTTGACAAGGGTAACCAACTTGGGATTAGCCTGCTGCAAACAAGAGAGGACCTTATCCTCATCCTCAGTTTTTTCACACAATGACACAACAGACAGTAAGCACCCACAAAGCCTATCATCTGGTTTAACCCCTCTTTCAACTGCAACACCAAAGACTCGAACCATATCGCCGAATCTTCTAGCTTTCCCCAAGCACTGAATCAAACAAGTGCACCCCATGACATTCAGCTCAATCCCCAACTCAGACATTTCTTCAAACAACCCCATTGCCTCATCAACATTCCCTCCACTCCCAAAAATGTTCAACATTGCCGTGTAACTCCAACTGTCCGGCCTACAATGCTCCGACTGCTTCATATCCTCGAAAAGCTTCTTAGCTTCCTCCTCCAAACCAAGGTCAGCACACATATTCAACAATGTGTTATACAAAATGAAGTCCATAGGCCACTCGTTCGACCTCATTCGTTCCCATAATTCCAAAGCATCTCGAGCCCACCTAGCCTTGCCATAGATCTTAACAAGCGCTGTCAATGTTTTCTCATTTGGTTTCAGTCCGGATCCCACCATTTCTTCGAATAAGCTTCTTGCTAAACCAGGCTTTCCAGCCTTGCCCATTGCCTCTAACAAAGTATTGTACACAACCAAATTAGGCTGCACACCAAGAGCAGCCATTTCCTGCAAGACATACCTAATGCCATCATAGTCCCCAGCCTCACCAAACATCTTACCCAAGACAGAAAATGCAATGGGGTCTGGTTTCCACCCACTGGCTCTCCCTCTCTCATATAAACTAAGAACCTCCTCAACCTTTCCCAATTTGGCATAAACATCTAAAATAGCAGAGTAAGTCACCTCATCAGGCATTAAACCAGTCTTGTACATCCTCTCAAACCACTCCACTGCCTTGTCAAAAAGCTTGGACCTCTTGGCACAAGTAATTATAGTGGAGTAAGTAATGTTATCAAGCTCAATCTCATTGCTTACCATCTCCTCAGCAAGCTCTTCAATGAGTTGAAACTGCCTCCCAAACCTCAAAGACTTCATTGTGACATTGTAGAATATGGTATCCATGGGAAACGAATTCTGGGCCTTCACCCAATTGAAGAACATATGGGTTTTCTGCCATGGCTTCAAGCTATTGAGTATCAAAAGCGCATTTTCTCTAGTGGGTGGGTGTGGGATTTCTTCAAGAGCAGCCAAGAAAGCACTTTGAGAGGCATCACAATCATTGAGCTTATGAGCAAACTGCCTGAGATCTCTCACCTGAGGATTGTAAGAGTAAAGTGACCGTTTCTGCCTCTGCAGAGAGAGCACAGAGCGTTTGGGCTTGGCAGGGTTCACCCAAATGGACTTCGGCTTGGAAAGCAATTGGGATTGGTCTTTGGGAGGGTTGGAGAGAGTGGTTGAGGTTAGAGGCTGGAGTTGCTCAGACAAAGATAAAGATGGGTTTTTTTGGTTGTTGTTGTCGTTCTTCTTCTTGTTGTTCTTGCTGTTGGGTTCTGCTAAATCTGGTGGAGATTTTGGAGGAGACTTGGTGGACCTGCAAGAAAGGTTGAATCTTTTGGTTGGAATTTGTCTAAACGGTGAAGTGAAGAAGATGGGTCTCTTGGTTTCTGAGGAATTCACGGTAAAATGGACAGCAGAAGTAGCAGCCATAAGAATGATTGAAAGAGTGTTATTTTTTCGAAGAACAGGAAACCTAAACTTATTATAATGGAGCTACTGCTAAGGAAGATGTTCTTCTGGATATTTTGTCACCTTATCTAAATGCAAGCAAAATTTGAACGAATCGTAAAATGAATTAACATGAAATTATTTGGGAAATTGCAAAAGTAAAAATTGGGAAATTTAAAAAAGCTAAGAAAAAGAAAAAAAAATGGTTATAAGATCCACCACAAGGGTGGGTAGCCTTAACCGGATGTGTGGTAACAGGTAAGCCCGAAGGCTGTTCCCGTCCCTGTCAGGGGAGATGCCAACCATCTCTCCTTTCTACGAACACGGTCCTTGGGTTAAAACTGTTGTATATAAAGCAGTGCAAATTTATATACTTTGTCGATGTGGGATTCTGGTGCTTCTTTCATTTGGGTTTTCCATGCACTTATTTGGGCTCTTCTAGGCTTGGTGACTAGATTGACCTGGGTGGAAACCAAATAAACGAGATTGGTATATAGAAGTAAACATGTTTTCCATTAAACTATGATTTGGGTTTTCTTTTGGAAGTGATTTGCATATAATATTTTGATTGAGGGGACTATTGTTCTTTTTTCCTTTTTTGTTTTGTTTTTGTTTTGGCACAAAGTGAGGCAACTTTTTGTGATAAACAAGTGATTCCCAGAAAGAACCATTTCTCCATAAATATAAAAAAATGTAATTCTCGATAGACTTATTTGGTTTCAAAACAAGTGTTGAGGCCTAAAAATCCAAGGGGCTAAGCCCAAATTAATTCTTGGCCTAACACAGATAAGAGGACGCAAAAGAGGCTCAATCGGGACAAAAGAGAATTTATAGGATCTGCCAATACAAGCTACAAGCCACGTATCATGCCAAGCAAGCACATACAAAGGGGCCAAGAGCATGCCAACATTACAAAACCACGCTCACATATCCCTTTGGTGTTACTTGGCCCAATTATAACCTATCACGGCATAATAAAACTCAAGCACAAGCATAGGCATCATGTAAGAAAAGGCATTATTCTAATTCCAAGCCGTGCCACGAGCTTAAGTGGGCCCAAGCCACAAAATTAACCGGGGCTTACTGAGAAAGTTGTGGCATGGAAGGGAACAAGCAATCACAGGGCCCATTGAGGGTTCGAGGAATGCAAGTTTTAAGCCACTTGGGGGCATTAAAACTCAAGCCCGTTCATAGAACCCAAACACATGGGTTAGCATGAGAGAGAAGAGAAAATGGTCCTATGCTTTAGGAAAACATCCAGTGGCCTACCATAATACTTAGCCCAACCCACATCAATAGAATGCCCAAAATTAACAAAAGCCTTTTCCAGCAGTTTGACGAAAACCCATTAGAAATAATAGGCCAACAACCCGATGTTGCACACAAGCCCAGCCCAGTGACTTGTAGAAAGCTGGCGTCGTGCTCCCTCCTTGTTAAGACTCCAAGATGGTCAAATAGGAAGCCATGACAGGGACCAACAGAAATCCATGAGTGTAGGAAGAAGACCCAGCGGGCAAAAGCTTCATCCATCTTCTTTCCCGTTGCAAGCTCTGTTTTGAAAAACGTTGAGAGAAAGCAAGTGGCGCCTCACCCTTATAGGGAGGTCCAGCTGCGTCAAATCCTTGGAACCACAAAGGGTTCCTTACCCATGCACCTTGAGAAGAGAATTTCACCAAAATAGGATTAAGTGGGGAGCTGTCAAAGGAAAAGGAAGGAGAAGACCAGATGAAATTAGGGTTCTTCATGCCTATAAAAGGGGGCCCCTTCTACCCAACAAAACCACCATTCAGAGCCTGACCAAGCTTTATCAAGCATCTGAGAATTTACTCAAGCCACCCAATCTCCTTCTTCGTTTGTTTTCTCTTCTTTCTTTAGGATAGAAATCGTTCTAGTTCTTCTCTGCCTTACTTCAAACTTTTGTTCTCTGTAGAAAATTCATGCTTCTCTCTCTCTCTCTCTCTCTCTCTCTCTCTCTCTCTCTCTCTCTCTCTCTCTCTCAAATTGCTAAACTTGTGAAAGCTTAGCTCCCATGCCACAGACTCCTCAAGTTAAATTTATCATGTTTACTTGGCTATTGGTGAAGAGAACCTAAGAGTATTTTTGTAAAGTTTCATCAGACTTTTCGAAAACTCTTTTGGGAGCTTGATTTTGAACTCAGATACTTGGGGGATCTTTCTTTTCTTTTCTTTTCTTATGGCAGCCCAAGCCCATTCGTCAGGCTGCTAGAACAAAAATACCCCTACAACAAGTAATCACATAAAACTAATACGTGCTATCCTCAAATTAAAGTTTGACAAGATTGGGCATTCACATTGATAAAGAAATTTCATAGGGAAAAAGAGAGAGTATAAGTGTATGTAATGAAGATGGCATTTTCTCATGAATTGGTGTTTATAGGTTGAATAAAACAATTAACAAACCCAATATAAACTCTAATTTGTAAAAAACAAAAGGACTATGTAAATAAGACCAGGAAATAGATTTCAATTTCCATTTCAAGTTTTTTTTTATTTATTTTATAATTTGACAAACTAGACAAGTGGAAAATGATAAGGGGCTGTTCGGTAACATTTTTAGAGGCTCGTTTTTGTTTTTTGAGCCTAAAGACGACTAAAAAATGCATTCGGTGAGTTATTGACAAAAACACGGAAAATATTTTAGGAGAATGAATTCACGCGTAAAGCGTAAAATGTGAAAACCGCCAAAATGACGTTTTCTCCTTTCTCAACTCCAAATTAGAGAATACGGGATCCTATTTGGGAAAACAGGGAAAACACGGGAAACAGAAACACCTCCTCCTCTTCTACGTCGCTCGAGCTTTCCTCCATCTTCTCTTAGGAAGACTACAAATTCCTTGCGTCTCACTCTTGCAATCTTCCCACACACTCTCTTAGAAGATCTTGGTAAGAAAAATTTCTATGAAAAATTTCGTTTCAGACTAGGGTTTTTCTATATGGTGTATCCGAAATTTTTTCCTTCTCTGATTTTGAGACTACCTACGCTTTTGCTTCTTAGTCTCTTAGAAGGTCTTGCTGCTCAGCCTTTTGGAAGATTTGGTATGGAATTATTTTATTTTTATGCTATTTATGTGTTTAGATTTGGGTATGAAGACTATGGTGTTATTTGTGTTTAGATTTGGAGTTTTCTTTATGCTAACTTTAATTTTAGTTCTGTTTATGTCGATGGTTGAATTTTTTTACCTTTTTTGTTGTTGTTAGATTGTATTTTTACGAGTTTGCTCTATTTGCCTTTATTTTTCTGTGCAATCGATCTGTACTAGGATTGAATGTTGTCAATTGCAAGATATTCTTTTTGCTTTATCTATTTTCTGGTCAAGGAAAATGTGTATGAATTAACTCACCCAAGAATCCAGATGACATCACCAACAGTAGATAAGACCAATGCAACCAAAGCAAAAGGTAAACCTAGCAAGAAACCCTATTGTCTGCAACGTCCCATTCTTTTTGTTTCATCTGTTTTCTAGTTTTAGTTTGCAATATTTTTTTTTTGCTTTATCTGTTTTCTCCTGGATTTTATATTTATTTTTTTGGCTTTATCCGTTTTTTGGTTTTAGACGAAACAATGCTTAGTACCTTTGAGAAAAAAATATGGACTAGTTTAGGAATGCTATTTGGTAGTTTCTAGTTGTGAATGACATGTGCAAGGTGGTGGCACGAATTATGACCTTTTTATGTGGTCACATGATGCATTACATGATTGAAGTTTGCTATAATTTTCTTTCTTTAAAAGGATATGGCCTCCAAGAATGTTGATGGTCAAGAAAAAATGTCATGGCCTCCAAAACAGGAGACAATATTCATACATATATTGCATGAACATGTGAAGAAGGGTAACTTGCAGACATCAACTTTCAAAATGAAAGTTTGGACAAAAATAAGTGATGAGTTGTATGCACAATATGGACTAAAAGGTACTACTCCACAACTTGGAATCTAAATTTAATAGACTGCGAAAAGTACATCGCGACTTCTCAAATTTGATTGAGCATATAGGATTTGGGTGGGATCCTTTTCTAAGATGTTTGGCCCTTTTCTTAAGGTGATGGGCCATTGGGTTTTCTCTCAAGCTTACCCATATGTTTGGGCTGAAGGAATGGACTTAAGTTTTGGTGCTTCCAAGTAGCCCAAAACTTCCACTCCTTGGGCCATCAATGGGCCTCGTGAATACTCGTAACTATCCATAACACAACCCGCTCAGCAAGCCTCAGGCATTCGCGTGGCTTGGGCTCACTTAAGCTTGTAGCGTGGCGTGTTGCTTATTTGCTTGGTGTGGCACATGTGCAAGCGTATATGATGAACTCTTGCGTACCCAAATTGGGTTTCTTCCCAAGTTAGGTGTCGTACTGGGCTATAAATATATTTGGGCTTAGCCTTAGATTTTTTGGACCTCAACACCGACTCCTCATATAAGAATTGTTTGTGACATTTGATATAATATAATTTTTATGCTTTGTAGAGTAAGCCAAAAGCGAATTTCGCACGCAAGTCTTAAAGCACTGTCCACTTTTAGGGGAGATAATCAACACTACTACTGCAACTGAGCAGTTTGCATTGTGCTTTTAGTCAACTTCCTCCTAACTTAGATGATGAACGTGAGTTAGAAAACAACTTCCTTAACACCGGAGTTCACTTTGATGTTGACTTGGATGATGATGGTGACAACCTTAAACTTGTGAGTGGTAAAGGGAAAAGAAAGTGTGCAAGTGCTGCTCCAGGTGAACGTATAAACATAAGATTACAATTAATATTATTATGTATATTATTTGTGTCTTGCAAGTAATAAATTAAAATTACACGGTATTACTATGTTGTGGATGCTGGATATTCAAATGTGTCTAGATTCTTGGCAACCTACCGAGGTGAAAGATATAATTTGCGTGATTATGGAGGACCTTGACAAGCACCAAGAGGTCCTATGGAGTTGGTCAACTATAGGCATTCCTCATTACATAATTGAGTGAT